AAAACACATTCTGTTCCATAAAAGCGACTATAAAAACACAAAAAAGTCACTATATTAATACTAATTCAACCAACTATGAATGCTCTACGATTAATAATATTTCCAACATTATTCAATACGCTCAATAGTCTACCCCTTCTAAATGTATAGAAATTTAGATGTTATCAAATGTACCCGCACTATATATTAAGAAAGAGAGGATGGATACTTCTACTTGTACTGTTTGTAGTTTTCAAGTGCAAAGTACAAATACTTGTACTACAAATATGTACTTGTACTTGCAATTGGGGTACATTTCGAGTATTTTAAGTACATTTTGTCCATTAATACTTTTTCGTATTTTCGTTTTCGTATATTTCGTTTAGTTAGATTACTCTTTAGGATGTCAACGTTTTAAATGTTTGTGAAAATTACCAGTAGATCCTTTTATCACACAGTACGCGAAACTTACATATGTTCTAAGATTTTTTGATAAATGTTCTAGAAAAAAAGATGATGTGATGCTTAAATATATTCTGGATACATGTGTGTAGATGAACGACGGCTTTCGGATAACGTTTGTAATTTTAGTTTTTGTGGAAGTGAGATAGTTGTAATGATGAGTCAAATAATTTGCAGAGATGATGGCTGTTATAATACAAGAAGGCGTTAATGCAGCATTTTTGAGCGGCCATTTGTCATATTTCTTTAGTTTTACAAGTTTTATGTTAGACATTGATGGCAAAGAATGACAAAAAGCGCGATACAAGACCTTCCAAAAAATACAAAAAATCTTTGGTGCTGTATATGAAAAGGTAGTTGAAATATGTTTGTTCAGTCTATTGTTACTCTTGCAATTCATATTTTCCAAGTTCTTTGAATAATGTTTTGGATCGTTGTAGTAAATTCATGTTTGTAAATTTTTACTGGTAATACAAATACTATAAATGTCATCATAGATGGAATAAATGGAACCAAATAAGCAAAGAGGAATAACCATGGATCTCGTGGTGACTTCATACATTCACTAATAAATGATATAATTAGACGAGGTAAAGCTAACAATACTAATACACATGATGCAAACAGATGATGTTTATGTTGATGAAATTGTTGTCGTAAATGTTCTTTGAATAATTTTCGAGGTTGAGCTTTAAAACGAGATTGAGCTATTGATATAATAATGATTATGGTGGAAATCAGATTGATCGAGAAAGGAATAAGAAAATGAAAAAGAGTAATGAACGTGTTGAAGATATTAACGGACTGTTCACATATAACAACGCTTGTTACTTTTTCTCAATTTTGGATACCTCTCCTTGAACGATTTTTAACATCTTATGTAGGGTAAAAGTACTTAGCAGATGATTGGACTAGGTCTCTACTGAGTTTCAGACATAGTGCAAAATATTGCTTGTATATAATCATTTGAATTTATTGTCACATCCTGTTTGCGTTGACAAATTAATGTCATGTTGAGAGGATAAGATTTGAGACTGAAAATGTTGACTTCATTAACACATAATGTGCTTATTGATGATAGAGCTTTGTGAATGAAATCTTTCTCTTTGATCAACTGATTTTAAAAAGTAATCTATTTTAATCTAATTTATCGGTATTCTTGTTACAGAGGTAAGAATCAATTGGTATTGCATTGTATCTCGAAGCGTTGCATGTGAATTAAAGGTTGGTGTACAATTACACTTACCATTTATCAAGGCAGATAGTCCAAACAAAATAATCAGAAATTGGAATTTTAAAGTTTAAATTCGAGAAAAACGCGTTATGCATTCATTACAGCTAAAATGAATTAAAAATTAAATAATCCGACTAAGGTAATGCCATTTTAATCGATTTTCAGTCAGAAAAAATTAATTAAAATCAAATTTCTTTTCGTTTTTTCTACATGAGTAACGGTTTGTGATACGCAATGTTTTTTATGACATACCTTGTTTGATTTCGACATTTTTCGACATAATGTGAATAAAATTTGAAAACGACCACATAGTTTTTATCAGCTCATCAGTCATTCTAATCTACAGGTTCAATTTATAAATCGTGTCCTGAGGGTAATGCAGAACAAAAGATTTTTATGAGTCCCTTTCAATACAAAGTAGGACACAAGGCATGATAGGGCAAGAAAACTGCCTTGTGACGATGTCTGATTCACAGTTCTAAAGTTGATGTTGTCTGATGGCTGTCTATCCTGCTCTCTCTGATGACATTATACGTAAACAACCCGTAAGTGCATTAGAGTATTGAGCTAAACACCAAGTTCGCTCTTCATCAGCATTGAAATCATCAATTAAACGACGATGAATAGGATCATGTATATGAGTGAGAATTGTCACAAGAAATATAATTACAATCATCCTTTTAGCCATTTGTTTACTTTTAACCTGATTGAATTTGAGACCTTTAAAAATGATAAACACTCGTTCGACAGCGACACATCCATAAAGCCAATCATTTGATGCGATAAGAACTTTAAGAATTATATCTAGTAATGTGCAATTGAATATAAGAAATGATCGATTGGTAACAATTGACATTTGTGATAAAATTAAAAGCCAAAACTTGATTGTTAATACAATTATTAAACACACAGAATTCCATGATGAAATTAAAAGATATAAACCAGAACCAATACTTTTTAGTTTTTTTATACG